TCAACTATCTCAGCAGGCAACAGCTCAGTATAAATGATACTAAAGTTAGCTTATCTTTATTTACTTTATTTACTAAGTTCATTACAGCTGCTTATAATTTAGCTCAACAGATACAAAAAATGTTGATATTATGGTTTTTATAGGATAGATTCAGTGAAACCAGGAAACAGACTGCTATCTTTTAAGGACATGTGATATAAGGAAGACAAAAAGTGAAGAGATGCAGTAATCTACTCATTTTTAATGAAAATAAACATGAACATTGGCAGTTTTAACAGTGAATGGTTTTTATTTTCTTTTATAAAATATAAATAAAAATATACAAATATAAAAATACACACATTTCCTTAACTTCTGCAGTGGAAGTATTTCGACTCAACTTCTTCTAACAAAGGATACTGAAAAAGAAAGCAACTGGAGTTCTTTTGAAGCTCAGCAATGTTTTGAAGATGCTTCATTCAGGAGGCTTCTTCAGTTCTAAAAACCAAGAAGTGGAGAATCCCAGGTGTTTGAGTGGTCATTGGCCCACTATTGATCATGTACCTAATCAAATGAGCCAAGATGTGGTAAAAACAATTAGGGTGAAGACACTGTGATATATCATATGACCCACTGAGGTCACCTGAAGCAAGGTGTCTCAAAGTGCTTAGTAGGTGGCTGATAGGTGATGTCATCAATCACCCTCTCTGTTCAATGATGGTCATTCACATGGCCAGCAGGCAGGACCAGATGGGGCAGGACCAGACAGCGCACTAACCTCTGGCAGAGACGCAACTGGACTACATGGCAGCGTGGCGGTTGCAAGTGGTTCAGCTGGTGGTGGCATGGCAGCTGTGGATGGTTGAGCTGGTGGTTGAGCTAGCGGTTGAGTAGGCAGTGGCATGGACGCCATGCGTGGTGGAGGCACAGGTGACGGCATGACAGCCGCAGACAGTTGTGCTGGCAGCTAGATGGACTCTCTTGAGCCACCAGCGAGAACAGGCAGCAGCATGGAAGCCATGGACAACTGGACGAACTCTCTAGATGGACTCCTCAGAGCCCCCAGCAGAAACAGAGGGTGGCGTGGAAGCTGTGGATGGCTGGAGCGGCTCTCCTAAGCCCCCAGCGGGAACAGAAACTGAACCAGATGGTGCGAAAACCTTTGGTGGAACAGAAACATGGCAGCTCAGTTGAGCTCTCAGGAGAAACAGTCTTTAAATCTTCAGAGAAGGAGTTCACAGTCTCTGTGATAAATGTCCCAGGCTCAGAAAGAGCAAGGATGGAACAGTTCTTAAAATCCATTAAGTCGGAACAGATTTCCTCGGAATGAGCAGTCACTGAGTTGACAGACTCAGTGCTGACTAGAGAAACAGAGGGGGGGAAATCTACTTATTCACAGGATTAATATGCAAGTCCTCGAAATGGACAGTGCCCATGGTAATAATCCTTGGCTCAGAAGAAGCACAAGAAAAACTGGCTTCGTTGCTCCCCACACAATACACTGTCCCAGAGCAAACAGTCAATTTTTTAGTAGGTGACTAGAAAATATCTGCGTTACACACCACAGCCGGTTGTTCAGAAGTCCCGGAATCCGGCTGTGGTGAGGAGCGTTGCGGCGTGGATGCCACTTCCTCTTTGAAGAGGAAGCAGGGATGATGGAGGGCTAGAGACCTACTCCTCATCCCCAACCACATCACTGCTTTTAAACGTTTCTAGCAGTCGTTCACAAAGTTCTATTATCTCCATCTGTCAGCTGGTGCTGGCTCTTCCGCCTCCTCTTCCTCCTCTTCCCCACACACGCAAAGTCTCACAGATGATGTGCAGCAGTGGGTCCCTCAGTCTGTCTTCACTCTGGACACTTGCAGTTCTCACACATGGAAATCAAATGTGTGATAACCTACAGGATTCAAACACAAGTTTAACTTATAAATACATGTTTATACTTTTATTAAACAATCAGAGAGAAAGAAAAAGAGAGAGAGTGCAGGACAGACAAAAAGGTGATGGTCTCAGATGGCCTCGGGTGTGCAATTTATGGTTTTCAGGGATTTTATCGTTAACTCGGTCTCCCTGGGTCTTTTCCTGTGTTGTAGTTGTGCATCTTATTTTGAAAGAAATATTTATGCATTACCATAGCAACCAGAGACCATTAAGGGGCAGAGGATGCTACTCTCAATGTTATTGGCGCATTTCAGGAGGACGCTGCGAATAAAGTTACACGATTACACTGTGAATTTGCATTTATTATTATACTTACAAAATACCAGTTTTTGTCTTGGTCGTATCATTTTATGTTGTTGTATTTATTCGCGACACCTTAAAGGCCGGTCTGTGAAAATATTGTCTGACATTAAACTACTCCGGACATTAAAAGGTTGGGGACCGCTGGTACACACTACTACACAAAACAGCGAAAGAGAAGGAGTATTTTCTTTTTGTGTTATTACGAGTACTAAATAAGAAGAGTTCCCAGATGGTACAGTGGCCACATGTTTGACTCCTATGAATAAAGCACGTTTTGTTTAGCTTAACAAGTGAACTGTTAAATCAAACGCCAAAGTCTGTTTGGCTTTAACCACTGAACAGAGGCAGCAAATTAGCCGAGCTAACATTAACAGTGCAGTGAATCCTGCTTGTGCCGTGATATTTGGGACTAAACACGGCAGCCTTCACAGACTATGAGCTTGTTCTGTTTGTGTATTTATTACTGAGTTAATTATTTCACAAAATCATCACATTCGCTTAAGATTAAGGTCAACAATTGAACGGCATCTACCGCCGCATAAATACGTGACATAAAAGTCAGTACTTTTAAAAGTTTACTCTTAAGCCAGCCCGCTTAAGCCGTCTGCCATTAAAAAAAATTATCCACAGCCACCGCTGCGCTATGAATCCTGGGATAGGTTGGGCCACAAAGGTTACACCTGACCCAACCTTCATATCCAGGGAAAAGGAGGACGCATTTGTGCGCCGCATTTCAAGCAGCCTTCGAATTGGGACAGCCTTTGTTGCCTGGCTGTGACATTATCGGCTTTCAAATGCGGCCTCCGAAGGATGCGGCCTATGAATTGGGACACAGCTAACGAGAGGATGGAGAACAAGTGGGAACAAAGCTGACATAAAACAAGGACTATCAAAGTAAAACAGGAAGCCAGAGACATTTGCAAAGACACAAACTCAGAGACACAGACTTGACACTGAGACATGACTGACTGGATATGCAACATGGAACACAAGGAAGACACTGTGACCAAAACTAGGAGCTAGAACTATAAAGATAATATAAACAGAAAACCACCAAGAAAACCAAAGCCATGAATAACAAATAATCAAGGAATATAACTTAAACACAAAACACTGGGTCACAGAACCAGTACCATGACACTGTGGGTATTAAAGGTACTGTGCTGCACTGGCTTGAATCATATCTAACAGACTCCAGTTTGTTCATGTAGATAGGGAGTCCTCTTTCAACACAAAGGTTAATTATGGAGTTCCACAGGGTGCAGCCCTAAAAGCCTTAGAAATATGGTGTCTAGCTAGTCCTTCAATGCACACATTCAACAAATATGTAAGACTGCTCTCTTTCATTTTCGCAATATCTCCAAAATTAGAAGCATCCTGTTTCACAGTAATGTTGAAATATGTGTTCATGCATTTTGTGATAAAGTAAAGTCTGAGGGCTGTGACACCAAAACGCAAAGTGCAAAACAACTGCGGCTCAGTAGGAAGTGTTTGTGCAACCTCCTACCATCAGAGGCTAGAAATGAAAAATACGAACCTGCAGTATTTTCGATCTTCCACTGGTGTCCTGACACAAGACTTCACAGCAGTGTCAAACATTCTGTTGGAGACCTCAGTCTGGTTAACTATCTGTCCCATTATGATACAATGAGAAAAACAGAGTGAAATGTGGTTCAAAGCTGGATCACGAGCAGAATTTTTTCTCAGGAACTTTGATCTTAACAACGCAGAAAAAGAAATGAGGAACTCACAGTGAGTTCCTTCTTTTAGCATCTAACTTTATACACGAGTCTGGTCTGCGTTTTTTTTTGTTGTTGTTGTTTTGCTCCTTCTTTCAGTTAATGCAGCCCATGAACATGCAGCATGTCCTTTGCAGAAAGGTAAAATAGAAATTAAGAGAAACTGTGTGAACCCTCCATGCCTTGTCTTGATGTCAGTGGCTTCTATCTCCTCCTTTGGGGAGCTTATCATCCCACCAGGGTATCTGAAGAAGACGTTGCTAGTCTTGTTACAGATCTGGTTAGGGTGTTCAAGCGTATGTAGAACAGCAACGGGGAGAGAGCGTCTACTTGCTAAATCCTGCACCTAATGGTAGCTTGTGCAATTGGCTTGAAGTTGGCTTCTAGTGCCAACTCCTTTTCTGCTTAGCCTCTTGTGTCCTTGTCTAGTAAGATAAGGGATCATGTGATCAACGATGCTCCGTGTCTCTGTCAGCTGTTTTACTGAGCCATGAGCTCCATGAAGAGAGTCCAGAGATCCCACTAGATGGATCCTTCCAGCGTGACCTCCAGGATCCAGACCTGCACACACACTCAGACTGCAGGGATTTAGGATCGCATCACTCACCC